CACACACACACACACACATACTCGAAATTTCTTTGACTATTTTTAGGAGGCGGGCCGTTTCGATACTGCCTGGCAGGGCTAACCCTGGGCTCTGTGAGAGGGATGAACAACAGGCTCACTAGATTTTTAGTTTTAGTGTTTTACGGCACTTGCAACACAAATAAGGTCATATAAGGGCCGAAGATTAGAGGTGAGACGAGAGTAACAAGCACAAAAAAGAAGGAGAGGAGATAAAGACGATAGACGTTTGATAGGAAAGAAGAAGCAAACCCTACCAGAGCACCCACCAACCACCCACAGGCTCACTAGAGAATAGAGATACCATCGATGCGATAGATAGAATAATACGTGTACATCATGATGGATTTCGCTGAGCGGTAATCAAACTCTCGTCATTTGCATACACATGACATCGAAGCATAACCATTAACACCACAACCTTCCAGCGTCTGTTGTAGTATAGCGGTAAAATAATAAGGCACTTCTCCGCCGCACGCAGAAGACCTGACCCAGTTCGATTGCCGTGAGGGGAGAATTTTCATCGGGTATTTCTCAGTCCTTTTAGTTTTAGTAAGAGTTTTACGGCACTTGCAACACAATAAGGTCATGTAAGTGCTGAAGATTAGAGGTGTTACAAGAGAGTAACAATCACAAAAAAAAAAAAGGAGGAGGATAGATCAGGACAATAGATGTTGGGTAGGAAAGAAGGGGCAAGCCACACCAGAGCATCCGCCAACCACCCGCATTTCTCAGTCTTATCTGCTGGGACGTTGTATCGCTCTCAGACAAAACAAGGAGTACAAAACTGTAACCTCCTTGCTCTCAGAGCACCTCTACCTACACCCACGGTAGGCCCCGCCCAAAAGGCAGTGTAGTAAACCCCGCCTCCTCAATATGTATATGCCTATTTAATAAACTAAATAGTGTCGATGGCGCGGTAAAACATCACCAACATAAAAAAACAAAAACAAAATCTCAGACGCCGGTTCTTATTTCGTTTTACACACCAAGACCGAGGCGTGAAAGTACAATAGCAGAAGACACGCTTCCTTTTATTTTAAGTCTTGGCACCGTCGCGCTAATGCTTAGAAAAGCCTAAATTACCCACTGCACAGTGCCAATCAGGTTCATCGGGTTGAGTCGAGGTCAACCATTTTTTTTTCCCTCCATAAAAGGAAGGGTGCGGCAAAAAGCTTCCATTTAGGCAGATTACTACGTTAGACTCCAACTCGCGACCTTCAAAAGTAGACGAACAAGTTTGATTTTGAAGGTCACGGTTGAAATAAAGTAGAAGACTTCGGTCGAACAGTGCCATCAAAACGGTAGCGTTTTGCCCTTCCTTGAAAAAAAAAAATTTGGCTGGCCCGACTCAGTTCGACATTTGACAGTTCGACTTAATTCGATTCACCGTGTGTGCACTCGGCTTCAGGGTACACGTTCACTTTTACAGAACTCTACCTCGAATAACGTCAATACAAATCCAGTTAGTTCTATTTTTATCATGTACAACATATTGATTAAGCAAGCATTGCGAAAATCGAGTCAAATTTCATTAACACCGGCGCATAATTGACTTTAACAAAGAGTATCATATATGTTTATATGGGCTGCGTTTGGCATCATGACTGGCTTGATAGTGACCCCGATTATTATAATGGCAAAAATAAATGCATCCCCCAGTCTTTTTCTTCTACGTCGTATAATCGCCTTACGGATTTGTTTTGTTTAAGGTTGTTAGTTGTTGTTTTTTGTTGTTGTTTGTCCTTTTTGTGTGCAGGTGTCTTAGGCTTTACGCCCCCGCCGTCAACACACAACTACATGAGATCATTTAGGAGGCGGGCCTCCTACCTGCCCGTCTGGGCCAATCAAGGAGGTTTTTATGGTTATAAAAAATAGTCGTGTATTCTAATTGGGTGTTTAAGGCCAACCCAAGCTGATTGTTATAGTAGAGGTTTTTACGGCGCTCGCGCCGCCTCTTAAATAACCTAATAATGTTGATAGGGGCGTTAAACCCGTACCATTTTCACGGCGCTCGCAACTGCAAGGTCATTTGAGCGCCAGAAGATTAGAGGAGTTACAAGAGAGTAACAAACAAACAAAAATAAGAAAGGGAGATAAGGACGATAGATGTTTGATAGGAAAGAAGAAGCAAACCACACCAGAGCACCCACCAACCCCTCACAACCTAAGCTGGGAGGGGTAAAAAATCCCAGCAGAAAGACAGAAGCACTCCATTAAACATTTCTCTCCCTACTCAGGAATCAAACTCGGGTCTCATGCATGCCACAGCTGAGCACCTAACCGCTACAAATACAGACTCTGGTCTGCAATTGCTATCATTCCTAAAAAAATTACTCCTTCTTAAACTTTTAAAGGTAAATGTTCAATTACAATTACATATACTCATTTATTATTATTACCACATGATAGCCTATCATCAATCCGAATATATTTCTCTTTTTATTTTATTTTTCTCCATTAAATTAGTCTTAGTGAAGTTTAGTCACCATTTGATAACCGCTGTCAGCGTTGCAGTGGTTAGACACTTCACCGTCATTGCAGCAGAAGACCCAAGTTCCATTCCGAAGTGGATAAATATATATATTGAGCATTTTTTTATCTTTCCGCTAGGAATTGTATCTTCAGCCCTGGTTGGCCTTGACAGGCAGGATTAAAGCCCGCCTCCTGAATTATACAAATAATTGTGTCAATGTGGGCGTAAAAGCACCTTCGTTATTTTATTTTTTTAAACATTTAAAATAAAACTCAAGTCTCACTGACACAGTGTCAATCATTGCGAAGAAGTTAATAATCTCTACACCACATTTTGTGATTGCGTAGAGGAACATTTCTCATTTCATACTCACAGTTCGGTGAAAGGAACTTATTTTCACTTGTTTTATTACTGAAAACGAATCATGTGATTTGTGAATTGTTTCCTTTGCATCATGAAAAGTTGTTATAAATGACAGACTTTGAGTCGGCTTAGCTGAGCTGGTCTAGATTTATAATAGTTAAAATACCAACTCACCCATAGTTCTTTTTTTGTTCTTTATAGTTCGTGGTGGAGCAGGGTTAGGGCACAGAAAAGAAAGAAAGCTATCTAGCTATGATGCTATCTATTTGGAACAGATGATGATAATATTATTGGAGCAAACAAGATGGGAGTGAAAGAAGAATGAATTAAAAAGAAACAGAGTGAGAGAGAGAAGAGAGAGAGGAAGAGAAAGGTTTATAATGATACACACAAACAGTAGGAAGAATGAAAGATCATGAGCAAACAAAAAAACTGAAGGAAGAGTCAGAGGAGGGAGAGCACTGTAAGACAGAGAAAAAAAGTGAGAAAAAACAAGTTTTGTAATTATTTTTTAGAAAAGACCGACTTTAAAAACCAAATGAGGAGAGAGGAGGAAAGAGAAAGGGAGAAAACATAGGGACATGGCAGGAAAATGACATGTGGGATCTGCTCCTTCACTTGATCGGTCATTATAATACAAAAGGCCTATAAAACTAAAGAGAAACAACAGCCAAAATGAAAAGAGAAGCTCAATTTGCTTATTTTAACAAAGCACAGCTAGATAGATCAATCTTTCAAATAACTTTTAAACTAACTACAAAAAAGCTTTTAAATCATCAAACATACATGATGTTCAATCTTACATTAGGAAAAAAATTCTTTCAGGTCCCAAATTTATCATGGCCTGCTCACTAAGAGAACATCTTCTTTAAATAAAACAGTTGCTGAAGTCTGACAAGAAAAATAAGGTTTGTCCAGGCCAGCTGCACTAGCATCCAAAGGTAACCAGAAAAAGAAGTACGTAAATAGTTCAACTGCTCAATTCAAACCATTCCACCGGGGGAAAGATTGAAGTTCAGAAATCATTAACACACGTTTCAATTTAAAAGTGCCCATTGATAGCACTTGAGTTGATGGGATGACAAACAATGGAAATTTCAATCATGTGTGAAAGAAAGACAGAAGTAAGCTTTTGATAAAAAGCTTTCCATACCACAGCACCATACTGTAAATGTAAAGAAAAAACTAATTACCATAGAGGCCTATGATTATATGATATAACACCTCTTTAAATTTGCACCAAAAAATAATTTTTCTGCTTCCATTGAATTTATAAAAGCTCAAAACTCTGCATGCATCAGGCAGGAAATAAATTGTTGGATCCTCAATTGACCCGAACAATAGGACAGATTCACGATCAAGGCTCTTCTGCGAAAGTTCTATAAACTTTTTAAATTTACAAATTTTAAAATAAAGTTTCTTCACCCAAAATCGAAAACGCTGCTCCAACGCACACATCTCAGTCAGTTGTAAATTTGTTTTCTTAAAAAAAATGTTTTTTAAAATAAAACATGATTAAAGCTCTCTCTATTAAGTGTTAAAAAATATTTAGAAATTCAACTGATTATGAGGAAGAAAGTATTCATCATGACCGCTTCGACTTCACGTTGTGACCCAGTTGCTCGAACTTTTTAATCTAGCAGTTCGACTAAATTTAATTCAGATACAATCTAATAGGCTACTTTTATTCATAAATAAATGTATTTTTATAATACCTACCTCCTCATTATGATCTTCATCAAACGCTTGGATGGCAAGAACCATGCTCAGGCCCATTTCCACACAGCATTTAGCATGATCCGGGCTGGGACTTGGACATCCAGAAACACAGTAATAGCAATCTCCAAGGGTGCTGATTTTTTCACAGCCTGAAGCATTGCACAACTTGTCGAACCTTCCAAAAAGATCATTGAGGAGACCCACAAGGCGCTCGGCAGTTTTATTAGAGCTCATCTTGGTAAATCCGACGATATCCGCAAACAGAATGCTGACATTCTTCATCTCATCCATTTGAAACTTTCGGAAAATAATTTCTCCCCTCACATGCCTTGTCTTGCGTCTTCTCCTGGAGTTTTCCTCTTCGTCTTCTTCATCCTTGGCCGGGTGGGTAGCCATTACAGATTTGGCCACAGACGGAGGCATAAGGGAATGAATCATTTTTTCTTTGATTTCCCTTTCCACCATGAGGTCCCGCTGCGCACTCACTGACTGACCGATCTTAGAAAAGTTGCTCCTCAACCTCGTGTTGGACGTTATGAAAATGAAGACACCAATGAGGTGAAGAATGAAGTGCAATAGAACTTTACAGATGATAAAACTCACTTCTTGCATTTTATCGTATCTAAGAGCTGTAAACACCTCATAGGTTATTGAGAGGAAGCCCCCGAGTCCAACAGCAGTGAAAAGGTTGAAGGGAAAAAATGAGTACAACAAAATTAATATTTCAACAACACTACAGAATGTTCCGATGGGCGATATATCAGGATCATCGAAAACATACGGAAGTTGGACTGTTACAACTAGCAAAATGGCAAGAACGAAAGAGACAATCTTTGAATAGTTTGCAAAATGCCTGGTACGTGTAAAGAATGAGAAACCCAGCATGAGGAGGAGTAGGACAGCTGCACTCACAATGTAGTAAATGCAATGTTCTGTTGGGTAGCGGATCTGCATAAGAGCGAAGTACAAGCCCCAACAAAAGGAAGCTACAGCGACGTAGTGCACTGTTTTCCTGAACATTCTTCGGGTTTGTGGTAAGTAGCATTTTACCAAAAAAGATTCCAAAATCTCACTGTCAAATCTTGGATTCAACAAGCTTCCATTGGAACGCTCGAATGGCTTCGGCAAAAACTGACACCCTTGCTTTTTTCTCTTGTGGCCTTTCGATGGAGTATGAATTGTTATTTCGACCTGGTCGGACTCTAAACCTGAGCCTTGTTCAAAGTTTACACAGGTTTCCTTTTTGGATGGTTCCCCGTTGCTAGCGTTCGCCATCTTGAATGCTATTTGAGTGCAGGTTGAGAGGTTCCGTGTTCTGCTAGGGGTCAATGACACCGGTTGCGATGTCCAGCTGATCTGCCTCCGCTAATCTACACACTCAATGCAAACACGGAACTAACCAAACATCGAAATTACATTCATAAACTCCATGATCGGAAACAATTTTGTAACAACACAGTATCCACAGCTAGTAGAAATCCATCATCTGGGCGACCGCCCAATCGAGAAAACGAAAGCACAACACACTGCACTAGGCCTAGGCCTACCACCAAAACTTGCTTCCTTGGCCTCTACACTCTACACACACACTCGGTGCTTCGGTTTCGCGATTGCCAGAGAAGTGGCCTCTCTCTTTGCTGCGGTGTTGCCTCAGAAATCACCCACTAAAAAGAAACCGCCCTGCGCAGTCTATTATCGATAAGAGCGCCGCAACTTCGCGCGGCAGTTTCAATACTCTTTTTCGCCGAACCAATTATTGATTGGAATCGGCGGTGAAAACTGTTGGGTTTTCCATATGTTGCGACTTAGTAAAGCCAGTGGCAACAAGTTAGGTGGATTTACGTTGAAAGTATCGAGATTGCCAACAAGCCTATCGCCCTTCGCCCGTGGCTCAAGAAGGATTAGCTTGCAATTGAAGGGAGGAATGGGTACTAGCATAATTTCGTTATTGTTGTAGACTTTTTTATCATTGAATAGTAGGCAGTGTCATTTCTGAGCACAGTAAATATTTTGAAGTATGAATGAGAAAGAGACTTTGAAAAGAATATGAGGTTTAGACAACAAAGAGTGTGTGTGTGTGTGTGTGTGTGTGTGTGTGTGTGTGTGTGAGAGAGAGAGAGAGAGAGAGAGAGAGAGAGAGAGAGAGAGAGAAAGAGAGAGAGAGAGAGAAATAGAGACAGAGAGAGCGGGAGATAGAGAGAGGGGGGAGAGAGAAGAGAGAGAGACGAAGAGAGAGAGAGAAGGGGGGGGGTGATTAAACTTATAGTGCCGTAGGTGTAGATGTTTGATGTCGTCACTGCTACAGATAAACATTGTAATAGTTCGTTTCTTGTCGTTGTCTGACTTTATCATCATTTTCCCCTTCATCAGTGCTTTAGTGTTTGTCTGTTTGAGCAGTCTTCTATGCGAAAAAAAATCTAATGAAGCTATTTATCAGGTCATTTTCTAACACGAAATATCTCAAACAAGTCCAGGAGCTACCAAAATACAGCCCGGGGACCAGATATCCAACAGTTGATGTCAGTTTGTCTGCCCGTCCCACTTTTTTTAGAAAAAGGGGGCTGCCCATTTTGTCACAAGCCCAGTTTGTCACAACTTCATTAAAGTATTTGGGTTTTGATGTCAGTCATAATTGCAGCACTTTAAAACTGTAGCTGTAACTTAAGTTGTTGTTTTTTCCACCTGCAAATTGGCGGTGCAGAGATAGATTCTAGTCCCTCTAAAATGTCAATTCAGCTTGTGTTGTTCAATATTTCTTCCTTTTTGTATGCAAATCAAAGCAAATTTAAATTACTCTGTAAAATTTCACCAATGGATTTTCGTTCGTTAAAAGCTATTGAAAAATAAAATTCAATTCTTACAATCAATCAATCATTATTACTCATTTTGAGAGTGTCATTGATAACTTGCATTATGCAGGGCACATTCGATGCCTGTGACAAACTGGGCCTGTGACAAACTGGCATGCTTCCCGTATGGTGACCACTGAGCATAGTTCAGTATATTAATTCATTCCTGTTTTTTTCCTTGAGAGAACCAAAATAAAGTCACATAACGTAGGCTATTCGCTCATAACTATTTTTCGACATTTCTTTTTTCATTATTGGGGAAGCAAGCCATTATCACGTTGTAACAAAAACAACTTTAAAAATTGGATTATTTACTAACCTATGGTGTAGTTGAGAAGATCACTATTTCATGGCATACTATATTTCTGACAAATCTCATCAGTAAGCTAAAGTAATGCGTATAAAGAAAGCAGGTGCAGTAGTCGAAAATGAGTATAGTAATTAGTCAATTACATTTTAATTATGCTGTCTAACTTGCTTTGGATTTTAGATATTGCTCAAGTCAGAACGGTATGGTAATTAATCCTTTCCTTTATAAAGATAATAATGTGTTTATAATTCAAACTGGTATTTGAAAAAGAAGGCGCG